CTTTTCCGCATTCTACATAGTGGAATATATTCCTATCTTGGGATTGGAATAGACTCACCTCCATGTGGTGCACCCTGGGCAACATATACTCATACGTCTATTAACTGGCAGTTGACTTCTGACTGCAAACCACCATGACCCCACTGTATGTCATATTCAACCACTTTCACAACACTCACCTTACCTTTTCTCTACCTTTATGTCTGTCTCCTTTACATCTGTGGACCTCTCTTCTGTTCCCCCTTTCGGCTTTTTTGTCACTTTGATATTCCTCCTCCTGCTCTCTGTGAAGCCAGAAGTCAGCTAAAGGGCTAATGATAACCATCAAAACGCTTGCCATTTGATATAAATATATTCTGATCTTACTGAATGTCTGGCAATTCAAAACACCATCACTACAATAACTTCAAGTGCAGTGCTACCTCATTATTCATAATACTACTATTTCGCGCATTTTTTATGCGTCAACACAAATCATTTGCATTACTTTCTTTTTTCAGTCGGAGTTTGTAAAAAAATATCATTTTAAGGTCTATTATTTATTATAAAATATAAAAAGGATGTAAAAATAAACGAGTCAGGGACCTTTTGGTTCAAAACATCAATATTTCAAACAAGTCAAGTCAGGAGAAAAGTAATATCATCGGTGATGCTGCGAAGACTCCCCTCCTAATCGTCAGTCAGCCTTTGTTGAATTGTCTCATTTTAGGATACTTGGAAGGAGCGAGCAACTTTCAGCATGATTCCCTGCTTTTTCGATCAACTGCCTTCTCAAATTTAAGCTGTTCTGGTCCAATGGGAAGGAGGGAGGAAATGCTGCTAATGGCAGATTGGGTAGTATTGAGATATTCGAGACTCTTTGAAGACGATAAAAAGACCTTAATATTTTCACGGGGATTGACAGCTGGATGGTTGACTTCCATGTGTCTCATCAAATGATCTTTACGGTAATAGCCCTGCAGACAAAGGGCACATTGGAACGGCTTGAAACCAACATGTTTCAGAGCGTGACGTTGGAGATTGGAACGCTGAGTGAAGGTACGACTGCAGATATGACAACGATAACTACCATGGGAGACCCTGGTGTGCTCTTCCAGTTGTTGAAGTGAATAGAACTCCATTTGATTGCATTGATTACAAGGAAAATTTCGACGTCCGACAGAAATTCGACGTTTTGCAAATGAAATTATTTTACCAGGAGCATCTTTCCTTTCGTATTGGTTGTTAAAGGCACTTGTAAAATCGGATTTCACAGGGGTGACAGGTGAAGAGTCATTTGAGTGGGCTGAACCTGAGGGGGAGAGATCGAGTGCTTCTGAGTGTGTATTGACATAATCTGTCAAAGAAGAGGGAGTGTGAAGCATTCTAACAGGCATATAAGACTTTCGCTTTGACGCTGAATGTGAAGAAGAATTTATTTTCACAGTGGCAGGTGCTTTAGAATCAACTGTAATTTGCAACTCTCCATGGATTGAAAATTTTGATTTCTTACAAGGAAGATGCTCTTGGACTGTTCTTTGAATAGCATTTTCGAGCTCCCTTCTATCTGGCACCGTACATGGCAGGGTTTCTTGTTGTTGAACCGTCTGGAGTTGCTGCAACAATTGCAGAAACATTAGCCCAATCGGATCGGACAGCATGCTCACCAGTGGATCCGAGTCGGACGTGACTGGTGGTATTTGCATTGTCGAGCCCAAAAGATTCGGGGGAGCAAAGCCTCTTATGGACAAGTCTTGTGGCTCATAGACATTCATGGTTAGCCAAGTCTAAAGATGGAAAATCATAAATTAGGTCATTTCTTTAAAGAATACTTGGAAAATGCCTGTTTTTAGACGAGGACTTACATAGTATAGAGATTAACTGAAGACAGTAGAGAGAAAAAGTCTTATTTATACAATTACCATGAAGCGCTTATCCCACTTTAGTCCTATCAAATTTTAGGTTGTTTAGGGTGCGTAGTTCGCATTGGCTGTATTTGCCTTTAAGGGTGGATACAGACGCACATAGGAACTAAGGGTCAACCAATGGGAGTATGAGATTTTATTGTCACCCTGATTGGTTCCTCGTGTACGTTAACTGCGTCTAAATTTCATCTTGAAGATTCAACTACATAAATTAATTTTCAAATATCGTAAAATTTAATATTAAGTTTTGTGATATCAAGTGAACTTTTTTTCGTACTTCTAATAATTTTACGTTTATTACCGAATAATTTTCTGTCATATATCGATCATATTCTTGCAGCCAATGTTTTGGTTTCAATAAAATTAATAACTTGGAATGCGTGGTAGAGTTTATCTTACTATTCTTGAGATATATTTTCAATTTTGAGCTCCAATTAACCTTAAGAAATTTCCTATCTTTCAACATTCAATGCTTATTAGAGGTTATAACTGAATTTGCTTCCATTAATAATTGATATTCATATCGATTTTGGTCCTTAGTCTCTTGAATAGATTCAATAAACTAAAATCTTATTGAGTATTTCAAATAAAAGAACCTCCTGGATTGATATCTTAGCATTAAATTTTACTTGTCCCTTTTGCACGAAGTTGGGAAATTTGCGGAAATGGGCGTTATCGGTATTAATAAAATTAATATTTCAACTAATTAAAGCTGAAAAAACGAGAAAAGTTTTATTTTTTATTACTTAAATATTTATATCTGAACCAATTAATTGTAAAATTCAATAATGCATAAATCTGATGGAGAAATAATCAAATGATGACCTCAAGGTCATTATCTGTGGACTATCGATACACGGGATTGATTTGGAATCTACGGGGGTAGGGGGCCTCAATGAGTATTTATAGTAGACACTCTGTGTGAGGGGATTTGGGGATGTGCAAATAACTGTGTGGATCCGATAAAATATCAGCCTAGGGAGTTTATGGGGGACTCCTTTTCTGATGGTACTTTTGCACTGCAGCCTTGTTATTGAAAATGTTTGAAAAAGCTTTTCTTGGTCCAGTGCGCATACCATTCAAATTTGTGGTTGATAATCGATAAATAAGAAGAGTGAGTAAGCTCACGAAATGCTAGAATGTCAACTTCTTCTAACTCTAAATCAGTAATATTAAAAGGTTGGAGTTAAATTATCCCAAAAAACCTGAAAGTGGGTAGAATAGCGACACATGCTAATCATTTTTTGCTGCGGTGTGCCAGTGAAAATCACAAAAACCGCCAAAAAATCCCCCCCCCCAACTTACATAATTTAACTTCGATTTTTTTAAATCCAATTATCCACCCATTCAGTAAAACATATGACGGTACTAAACGTAGTTAACTTAATACAATAATAATGTACAGTGAAAGACGTACCCCACAAGGCAGTTCAATGTAAACCGCTCTATTTACTCAATAAATCTTCGGCAACGAAGGTCTTTTCAACTTCTTTAAAAAGTCGCTGAAAAGCGAGATGAAGTGATGCTAAGCTATAATGGGAATAAGATGTCAGAAAATAGTACACTTAACTCAAACTTGCACCAATTAACGTAGACTTATAGAAATTAAGAATGACCAAATGTTAACATCTTTTTGCTGGTTTGCTCTTTCTTTCTTACGTTTTTTCAACCGCCTTTTCCCTGGGCATCAGGCAAAACGAGTTGATTGAATGAGACCGACAACAGTAAATAATCGATTAATCAATAAGCACTAGACATCGCAGGCGGGCTAAGTTCAATATTCCAGGGAACGTATCATGCGATTCGATGCCTGGTGCAAAAGCGGAGAATTGCTCCCCTTTAGGTGAACATTAAATAAACCAAAAATAAGACGGGGTTTGTCGTTAATGACTTTCTGATTTGACTACCAACATGTTTTCACTCAATCCTTTTAGTCCTATTTGGCATGAAAAACTAATGATCTTTTCATGATGAACTTCACAATAATAGCGATTAATCGTACTTGGATTACATAAAACCAACCTTGAACAATTTGAAAGATGTTTAAAAATCCCACGAAAATATGTAGCTAAGGAATTAATTTATTCAATTTTTTACTTTCATACCTCCTAAATTATTTTTTTATTATCGGGAGTAAAGTCTTAGACTTAAATATTGATCAATACGTGTATTAAGGGATTTGAGAAATGGACTTCTACGCGTTCATGCATTTTGTTATTTCATGGATTGACGTGGAAAGAGTCGTAATACGTCATGTTGAGGTAAGGGTAAAGGACAACAAATTAGGTGAGAAGTTGGAATCAATTTGCAAGATCTTCAATGTACTGTTTAAAATCATCGCCAAGATGAAACTTTTCAATAAGTACTTGTAGATTGCCTCTTAAGGTAAAAATTCATTAGTATATGCAACAGTTGAAAGGCTTTAAATTCACTTCGAAAACTATTGTGACTCAATTGCGTACGAAACGTCAACGCCACCTTTGAAAAAGGCAGCATTAAAAAATTGGTTAAAGGAAAAATTTCCAGGAGAACTCATTGACATCGGCAATACCCCCAAAAGGCTGTTGAATCTGCTTCGCAAATTTCCCAAAATATTGGAATCGTTAGCTGAAGGTCCAGATACTTATTGATTTCAGATAATATTAAAGTGAATTTGGTTAATTGTGAATCTCAAACATTCATTTTATTTTAGTTCTGATTTGAAAATAACAGACCACGGTTAGATTCTATCATTGACATTCTTAAAATTTCGGAAGAAATAGTTCTTAATGTCCATTTAACTTTTTATTGTTGCGGTATATCAAATTAATAATAAGTCATATAAAAGACGTTAATTAGGGTAGTAAGTGGAGTTTCATATTGTTTAAAAAACTAAATTACATGATTACTTATAAATGTATTTGAAAAATAGAAGTTTTTAATTTTAGAAAAAATCAATAGGTTTTTTCTGCTCAGATAAGTATTATTGGCAGAATCGTCTGAAGGTATCAAGGTTGTTGCTGCCTAAAAACATAAATGATCGTAAACAAGGGGATGTGCGATAGACTTACCTCCACGTGGTACACCCTGGGCAACGTATACTCATACGGCAAAAAAGTCTATTAACTGGCAGTTGACCTCTGACTTCAAACTACCATCACCCCACTGTATGTCATATTTGACCCCTTCCACAGTACTCATCTAGCCTTTCCTCTGCCTTTGTGTCTGTCTGTCTCTTTTACATCTGTGAATCGCTCTTCTTTTCCCCTGTTGAAAATTTTTTACTTTAATGTTCCTCCCTTCTGTGAAGCCCGAAGTCAACTAAAAGGCTAATGATAACTATCAAAATGTTTGCCATTTGATATAAATAAATAAATTATCGTAAACAATGTGGGGGTGGAATGAAAAGAAATGATCCAGCATTGAGTTTGCCTGCTTGTCATAGACGATCATGTCCAAAAGCGTGCCTCGTTGTGCAGGCTTGACAATTTCGGTCTGCTGGAATGCTCACAAGGCTATAAAAACGACTCAAAAATTGTATGAATAGTTGCAGAAATTGTTCACCTACGAAAAATACTTAGATTGATCCCTTTGGATTCGAATTCGACTTGTCGACTGTAATTAAATTAAAGCATAATACGAAATTGCTACCTTTGGTGAAATGTCGAAACCTAAGTCATTTCGCAACTTGAGAAATGTAGTTACGAGAACTGATCATATTAATTAATTAAATTGATCTGAATTTATACCTCTTCTGGACTTGAATTATTTAAAAGAACTGGGTTAAAAATTAGTCCAAATAAATTTAGTTGCCTATTTGTGAAACAATTCAAAGTGAGGCCTACTGCATTTTTGCATTATTGCATATTTGAATCAAACAGATTTAACATTGAAATATCTACAATTAAAACTTTAATTAGCACTCGCTACCATAAAGTTAAAGGGATTTCGCACTTCCAGGCTGTGCAACAATCTCAAATTTCCCCACACTGGCGGATTATTGGGACAGCAGCACGTATTCCCAACTCAGGTAAGATGCGAACAGATTCAAAGAGAACCTCTGCGTTCCATATTTCGGACAAAGTAGCCAAAGACAGAAACGCACACTGGAGGTTAATGCACTTACTTTGCAAACACACACACACACACACACTTGGGCCCGTGAGTAGAAATTCGGGACAGGTGGAGTGCGAAGGGAGCAGCTTGCTCAAAAAATGTCGCGACAGATGAGTGGAGATTGTGTCCAGTTGCTATGGCTCTAGATACACACACACACATACATGCGCATTCACCCCTACTCATAATTTCCACAACTCCTAGAGTTCTCCTTTTTTAATGCTAGAAATTAGTTGTGCCAGTCACCGCCCCCTACATTTCTCTTTACCGGACACAAATAAGTTCTCTTCAAACGAGAAACGTATCTCCATAACATAATTGGCATATTCAGAGTGCTTCGGAACGTTTCACTTACTTCAACGTGAAGACTAGATATGGACTCACCGGTGTCTCAAAAAGAAGCAATTTGAGTGAGAATCATTAAAACCTGGAATGAAGATACCCATCGAATTGAAGTAACTTTTGGTAGAATATTAATGAGATGTTTATCTGTCTTCAATTTGTAGGCTTGTGCGTATTAACATGTTTGACATGTTTCAGAGATCACTTTTCTATAGGTTTCAACAAGTCACTCACAGTCACCCTGAACTTTAATCAGAAGACTGAGGAAGCAATTTGGAATCCTATTGCGATATTTCACGCGGTTGTGTATGTCAATTGAAGTGCGATGGAAGGCAATTAGTTTGCTAACTCGCACTCCCTGCCACTTTGAATAAACACTTGTCAATTGCTGTTAGTCGTCGAGCTGCGGTTTT